TGGGCTGTTATGACTATAAGGTTCTAATGGATTGAAACTTGACAACTGGTGAAAAAATTTCCTCATAGTCTATTCCTTCCTTTTAATAAATTCCTTGGATACTAGTCTAGCATTGTATTTTTCTAGTTTCCCTTCTGAGTTAAGTTTCTTCTTGAAAATCCACTTGCATCCTATGGCTTTTCGATGTCGAGGTAGAGGTATTAATTCCCTAACATGATTTTGGTTAATGGATGAGTATTCATCTTTCATGGCTTCTATCCAATAGTTCTTTTGAGAACAAGTTATGGCTTCTCGGTAAGTCTTAGGCTCATTATCTGATTCATCCTCAATCCTATCATAGTGTTCTCCCAGGTAGGTAAAGTGCTTAAGATATTATTGAGGTGGTCTTGTAACTCGGTTACTCTTTTTTGGTTCGGGAAGTCCGGATTCTATTTAAGGTTGGAGTTGAGGTTCAGGCTTGGGTTCTCGCTTCTCAACCTTGTCACTAGCCATCTCATAGAGATTTTCTTGTTTGTGACTAATTTTTACTTCAAGGAATTCATCCTTAAAGAAATGAGCATCTCGACTTTCAATGACCACCCCATACCATGATCAGGGTAGCAATGAAGATGATCTTGACAATTTTTTAATCTAGTTTTGTCTGGTTTTGGTATGGGATAAGGACATGGGCTGAGCAACTCCATGCTTGTAGGTAATCGAGGGACAGAGTACAACCGGTGAATATTTCGTGAGGAGTAAAAGAGGTAGCCTTGGTGGGAGTCCGGTTCAGAATGTAACCAACTGTTAATACTGCCTCTCCCAAAAAATCTAGGAAAAATTTTGCATGCCCCATCATACTTCTACCAAGGTCCAATTCCGTCTCTCGGCAACTCCATTTTGTTCCGGTATGTAGGGCATAGTAAATTGATGAATAATCTCATGCTCTACACACAAGTCTTTAAAGAGTTCGGAAGCATAGTCTTTAAAGAGTTCGGAAGCATACTCGCAACCGTTATCGGTTCATAGGACTTGGATTTTCAAGTTTGTTTAGTTTTCTACCTCAAACTTTGTAAATCTTGAATTTTTCTAAAGCCTCGGATTTAGTGTGTATAACGTATATGTGGTCATATCGTGAGTGGTCATCAATAAAAGTGATGAGATACCTGTTAGCCACATTCATAAAACCACATATGTCGTTATAAATGATTTACAATAGACTAGTAGCTCTTTATGCCCCGGTATAGCTTTTCTTTATTAATTTTTTTTGCACACACGATTCACATAATTTTGATAAATCTCCTTTATAGTTTGAAGGATCCCATCTTTTCTTTGTCTTTCCATTCTATTAAATCTTATGTGCCCTACACGCATATGCCATAAATATGCATCCAAACCATTCGAGACATAAGCAACCGCTTCTTTTATTTCAATTGAGTTAAGACCGTCCACAAGTCATCCGGTCATTACAACTTCATTATGCTTTTTCACTATAACCTTTTTTCTAACAAAGGTAGTGATAAATCCAGCCTTAGATATCTTCGGAACCGAAATCAAGCACTTCCTCATTTCGGGAGCATAAAGTGCTTGCTTTAGGTTCAACATCTTCCCATTCTTCAATTCAAGAGAGTCCTCAACACCCAACACCTCGGTCTTTTGATTTCCTCCCATGAATATATGTTGTTCGCTCGGCCTCATGGGAATGAAAATGCGGAGCTCTTCCTTGGTATTTGTCACGTGAGTCGTAGCTCTCAAGTCAAGACACCAAGATGTACCCTTGGGGTCGACCAACAAGGTTTTTAAGACCATACAAGCAAGTTCCTTGTTGGTTCTTGGATTCTTGTTGAACCTACAATTTTTTACTATATGACCCACCTTCTTGCAAACAAAACAAGTTATGGTCTCTCTTTTCTCTTTATATTTGTTCTCCTTATACCCTTGTGTTTTCTTTAAAAACATTCTTACCCTTTCCCTTATAAGGCTTAAAGAAGGGTTTATATTTTACCATATGTAGCATCACCGTCGGTGCCAGGGTGTGACGTGCATTCCTTCTCTCTTCTTCTCCTTTGAGCGTAGTGATTGGCTCCTCCAACTTGGGAGCTTTTGATCACGTCGCAACAGAAGTGACAAAAGTATCACAGGAATTAGGAAGTGAGTTTATGAGATGAACCACTTGCTTGGGCTCTTCGGGTTGCATTCCAATGGCTTGTACTTCTCGAATGAGTGCACAAAAAGTGTGCATGTGATCCTATAATTTCGTGCTCTCGCTCATCTTGAGTTCATTGTACTTTTTCATGGCTAAGAATTGTTTTATAAGTGACGGATCAACATGCTCCCTTTCAAGTCTCTCGTGCATCTCTTTTCCCATGCCCATTGACTCATATTTCGATGCATATGAGTTGACCATCGCGCAAAGCAAAATATTCCTTGTTCACATATTTTTGCACTTCCAAATAGCATATTTATCCTTAGCATCTTAGGATGAATTGTTACTTGGACTATGAGGATGACTTTCAATCAAGATCTCATCCAACTCCTCCTCATAAATCACATATTTGATTTTGCGCTTCCAAGAGGAGTAGTTGAACACATCAAACCTCTCGGTTTTTAGGATCTCGAAGACCGTACGGCCATCTATCTATTTTTCCCAAAAGCAATGTAGGACTCAATAGAAAGAAAATAAAATAAATCCTAGAGGTAGCAAGAAACCTTGCTTTGATACCAATAAAAAGACTTTATGATAAAGCACGATAAATACATTTTAAAAACATTATTTATTCCTACACCGGCAATATCACCTACAATGTCCAATTACAATCAAACCACTCTTGAAATAAATAAATAAAATACGTTCTCAATTGCTACATCTTCAAAAACAATTCTTTATTTAACAAACAAAACTAGACTTTATTGCTTTATGGGAAGAGAATATCAAAACATGAATAAATATTTAAAAAGGTAAAATTGCCGGAGATTACCTCAATCGGGCTTAGTACACCCCATGCCAAATCTCCTTCTTTCGATGGTGCTCGGGTTCTATCAGTATGTTAATTATGACCTGTATGTTGATTTCCCTACTATGGTAAAAATCAACTCAATGGCTTAATCTTAGCTTGATTTTAGAGAGATAAAATATGAATATCAAGAGGGAGGGAGAGATCTACTAGCATGGGGTTCCACCCCTTTGCCACCCACAAAGAATATGAAAGATGGATAGCAAGAGAGAGTGAGAAATCTACTAGCAAGAGTTCCACCACTTTGCTACCCACAAAGAAAAATACCACCTAGGCTTAACGGTGACACCCAAACTGGAAAGAGGTAGTATGTACTACCTAAAATAACTCGGAGAGAGAGAAAAAAATTTGGGCATGCCTCCCCTTTGGGAATCTAGCGAGAGTGCTAAATTTGGGGTAGGGAAATAGAGAATTCTTAAAGAGAGAGAAGAGAATACGTATATAATTTTATGAGGGGAGACCTCATTTTCTATGCCATAGATTTTGCCTCATTGTCAAATCTCAACCGTCGATCTAGAGAGACTTGTGAGGTAAGAGATTTGAACCATCCATCTCGTTGATCCACTATCAAGATTTAAAGACTAGAGCATTATCCTCCATTTCCTAAATCTATTCCCATCAAATAAGAAAAATTTATATTTTAACGTATCATATCCTTAATTATTAGATCAACCAATGTTGATTCAAAGAATTAGTAAAATCTCAAATATTCAACTTTATCAGGTTCTAAGCCAACTAATGGGATAAACATTCTTCCCAAGAAGAGTACGTGAATGGGTGGGGACATGCCACCCTTTTGGTGGGCACGCGTGGGCCCCACTTAATCCACATCTTTTTAAATTTTGGACCCCATATGTTATGGAAGTCCCATATATTTTTAGAAAATATTATATTTCATATTTAGAATTTTTAAATCCTATATTTTATTTAAAACATTAAAAATAAATTTCTTTTAATTTATAAATCTATATGAAAAAAATTAAAACATCAAAAGATTCATAAAAATTCAAATAAACATTCTAAAAATCACATGACATAAAATTAATTAATTTGAATGGGAATCGTATTCGTTAAATCTATGAAATTATCAATACATGGGAGCATTCCACCTTCAATTGTGAATCACAGACCGCATAGCTTTCTCAAACTGACTCAACAGTTCTCATGACCCACAATCCATTGAAGGGATTCATGATTGGACCACTAAAGTCAGCCTATAGACTAAGTGGTACAATCTCAGTTTATGGATTTCAGGTTCTCCCCTAGAGACAAAAATCATGGTCCTCCATACCATGATGCAACCATGACTCTATGGTGTATAGGGACAATCTCTCGCACATGTACACACTTCACCCTCATTGGCGAATCGGCTTTCTATATACATGACATGTGATGATATAACGATGAGGTTTTAACTCAATTTCTAAAGACTATTTATCATACGAAATGGCTACAAGGTCCTCGGCTCTCATCGAGGCATACACTGACCTCATCAAGGGTTAACCCACTAAACCCTTCTCGGTTAGATCCATATGCCTAAGTATCTTGAGTTTTTTCAAACCTCAGCTGGCTTAGCTCATCAACCCTAGTCCGAGTATTAACAAATAACATTTATCTAATATGATCCACAAAAAGACCACACTCCATTGAGTTTATATTTCATTTATTAAATATATTTTATACAATCTATCGTAAAACCTTTAAAGGCCACATAAACCCCTGTTGGCGTGGCTGGTACTAAATCAGTACAAAACATATACTATCGTGGTACTATATTGTATGTTTGGTCCGATCGCTACATTACCCCGTTTTGGCTGTTTGTTTGGCCCAACACAACGTGTTGTTTGTTGTTTGATTTACTCCATGACCATGTTTTCTTACCCATATTTTGGGTTCAAAAAAATTTTTGGAGCTCAAAAAATACCACTCCACACCGATGGAATTGATTTTGAGTTCTTCAGGAAAAATTGATTTGAAGTTCTTAATACACGAAATTTATTCTCAAGTGCATGCACCAAAATATTTTTTATTGGCTTCTGTTGTGGTAAACGCTCTTTTGTAGGTCAAGAAAGTGCCGCATCCATAGGGAGTGGTTATCCCAGGTAGGCCTCCGAGGCGATTACGTTCGGACTATCAAAAACCTAATTCCGAGCCTTCTGCACTCTATTTACTTTCCGAAGCCCAGGTTCAGCCCTCCCAACAAAGCAAACAGATCTAAGAGTTTTTCCTTTAAAATAGGTACCTTGATGCCCCCAACTGGGAGCGGGCAAATTAATGTGGCTAGGCCCTGCCATAATTTGTTATTTCTATATTAACCCAAGTATAGGGTAGAAGACTGCAACCCAAGGTCAACCTAGCAAAAACACGTCAGACTTTCTTCTCTCTCTAGGCAATAGAGTAACACCACCGAATCTTCTATCACCTTCCTCCATAAAGTAAGGTAGTAAAATAAAAGGAACGGCCCCTAGAGACAGCAGCCTTGCTGCCTTTTAACACTCGGAAGATTCCTCTTCTTTCCTGCTCTTCATTGAAGAAACAAAACAATAAAATATTAAGGCCAGGTACCAAACCAACGGCAGGACACAGACACCCACTTCCAAAAAGCTTCATTATGACAATGACTACAAAAACCCAACTGCCACCCAAACGGCCATCCCACAAAAGAAAAGAAAAACAAAAAGAAGAAAATGACGTAAGCAACCTGTGTGGGTTCATTGACAAAAGCAAAATTGAGAGGTTCTCCTTTTCTCAATTCGAGTCCACGCGTTTGAAGAACCCAACTCACCTTTCTCTTGGATTTAATGGAACCCCAACTAAACTAAAAATATTTACCGCACATTCCTTCATTTACAAATTTTCAACATATATACATTCTTGGTGAGTCCCGATACGCGACACGCGTCTCTCTTCGTCTTCATTGATTCTTAATCATCCGACCTGTGAAAGCCTGATCTTGGTTGCCTCAAGAACGGGATTAGGGTCTCAGCCTGGATTCACAATATGAGCAACAATTCAGAAAAATTACAGAAATGGAAAAGTCCTATGTATCAAATATCAACTTAAAAACCATAAAATGTAAGAAGTAAATTTTCCTTCCTCTTCTAACTCTGTATTTTTTTTGACAAATTCCAATCATGCTTTTTTTCCTTTGCATTGATTTTTTGTATAGTTTGAAAGGTCAATAACCAATGAAACTTATATGAGAATAGAATACTTAAAACTCCTATGTTATATTTGATTATTAAAATATATTTTTTTAATGTAATTATTAAACAATATTTACAATCATGTCGATTATTTATTATGAAATTGTCACCAAAAAATGATCTATTTTATAATCGAATCCATGGTTTCTTATTAGAAGGTTTGTGGGAGAAGACTCAGCACGTTGGTGCACGTTAGAAGATCAAAAAGAGGGGCAAAATGGTCCCACGCAACATAAAGAGTTTTAAATAAGAAGTCGTGTTTCACCCTTATGCTTTTCCTTTCTTTCTTTCTTGTGATGAAAAAACATTTTGCAAAAAAAAAAAAGAGTTTGAAACAACACATGATGAAGGAACATGAGGAAGAAAATTTGGAATCCGGAATAATTCAATGAACAAAAACTGGGTTTCCATGAAACCAAAATAGAACCAAAACATTGTGGGAAATTTAAATAAAATGAGCCACTTTGAAATAAACCAAAAAAACCAAGTCACTTTCATGGAGAAGGGCTCAATGGTTCCAATGGGAAAAAGGACAAGGGGGAGAATGTGGGGTCATTGCAGAAATATTCGCATAGTCATTTTCAAGGGCAAAAAAACAAAAGATCCTCCAAATCTCCCCATTGTCATATTACTCAAATTTTTTCTTTTGAAAATAATCATAGCTTTGCAGCCGGTCGCATAGTATAGAAATGCGAGCTTGGCGATAAATATATATTTTAAATATAATTTGATCCTAATATTTATAGAATATATAATCTTTAATATAGAGATCATGAATATGAAGAAAAAAAAAATTTTGAAAGCTAGAAATACTAATTATATTAAGAAAATATTTGGACCGTTAGTACCTATTTACATCCATCTTGAAGATGGATGGTTTATACCTCTGGACAACATAGTGTAGAAATGCGGTCCAACCCGCACGAAACAATTTTTTCTAATTCTTATGCAATTCCCCAAATTTTAGACTAAAATAATCTTGCTAAATATGTGTGCCCAAGGGAGTAGATACACGACATGGTCCCATAAGAGCATAGTAAGTGCGAAATAGAAAATCATGAGTGCGAAATAAGGCCATAAAAATAGGCCCCTGATGTCAAATAGAAAATCATGAGAGCGATTAGTTGGGGTTATGTCCCGTTCATTTGTTTCATCAAACTAAACTTTCCCACCCACAAGGCAAAAAAAATAAGCTTAATTAAATTTAGAGAAAACGACGTCACTACCCCTTACATCAATGTTAAAGGAAAAAGGAAAAAGTTTATGCAAGTGCGAGTCTCTAAACAATCAAATTAGGGTGCATCTCGAAAGTTTCACTAGAAGATGTTTTGATGCTCAAATATCCTCAAATTGATCATCTTGATCTCAAGATGCATGTACATGAGAAAAAAATAGATTTTAAGTTTTAGAAATAGTGCATATTGTAAATGCATTTTTGGACCGTCAGTTTTTAAGCTTTTTAAATTTTCATAGATACGCTAGATCTACACTATTTTTGAAGCTTTAAATTTTATAATTAAAGATAAAAATATATTTTAAGACTATCACAAAGATTTTTAGTATTGAAATCACATTTCTCGACAACACTATTTGAAGGGGTGATTTACTTGATTGTTTAGAGCCTCGGCTTTATACAATCTACACTCTTATAATTATAATCGAAATTAAAAATTCTAAACTGATTAGTACGAATTTTGAATTTCCAAGCCAAATCAGTTGAATTTTGGGTTCACAATTTTAAGAGGTTTAGAGTAAAGTTCCGAAAACAAAAGTCAAATAAAACAGTTTTGAACTTCAAAATCAAAATTGGTTGGTTCATGACGATTCCGTCAATGCACAGGAAATCATCAGGGTCTAGAAGAGAACCCCCGATTTGCTACAGTAAAACATAGTTTGCTACAATTTTTGGAATTAGGAGTTAGCTTTCTAAAGGGGTTAGTGGGGTGGTGTTAATGGTAGGAATGGAACGGGTTGCTACAATAAAAATGCCATTTTGCTGCACTACAAACAGCTATTCATGGATCCGGACCTGCTTTTGGCCTGTTCCCGATAAAAGAAACTACTTATTTTGAAAACCAACCGCCACTGAAACTAGAAAGAAAACCATACCAAACCACACTAGACAACCAGAATCACAGCTCCCAAACGTTCAACTGAAAAACCGAACTTTCTCTAAATAAATTCTAACAGAAAAACCTAAAGGTACGGTTTGCATAGAGCCTAGGCTCTAAACAATCAAATTAGAGCTTACTTTCAAATAGTGTTTAAGAAATGTGGTTTTAATGTTGAAAATATTTGTGATAGCCTTAAAATATATTTTCATCTTTATTTATTTATCGATAAAAACTTGAAAATCTAAAAAATTGATGGTCCAAAAATGTGTTAAAATATACTATTTTCAAAACTTTAAATCCTTTTTTTTGTTTTTTTTTTTTCACATGTTCGTGCATCTTGATGTCGAGAAGATCAATTTGAGGATATTTTGACATCAAAACAACTTCTAGTGAAATTTTGAGGTAGGCTCAAATTTGATTGTTTAGAGCCTCGGCTCTACATAAACTTTTCCCATACCGAAAACTGGTTTACGAAATCAGTATACCACATCAAAAGAGCAACAAAATAAAGAAAAACATACCTTCTGCCTTGCTCTGGTAGTTCCATTTTGTGACAGAGCAACAAGCGGCGGAATGGCGCCCTCCCTCGCCACCAATGTCCTGTAAACTGAACTCTCCTCGCAGAGCTGCAGCAGTATGCCCACAGCAAACTCCTTCTGCCTATGCGACCCTACCTCGATGATCTCGACCAAAACAGGAATGCCGCCCTCCTCGACGACAGCAGCCTTGGCTTCCCTAATCCCAACCAGAACGTCCAACACCAATGCTGCTTTCTCGAGCATCCCGGATGAGAAATCTGCCATGTATTCGATTAAAGGTTTCACGGCACCAGCTTTTACTGCTCTGAGCTTATTTTCGCGAACAGAGCAGAGTGTGAATAGTGCTGCAGCTGCGTCTTTTTTGCCGCGAAAGCTGCCCAGGGCAAGGAGGTTGACGAGGGGCTCGATGGCCCCGGCGCAGCCGATAGGGGCACGGTTCTCCTCAGGGATCCCGAGGCGGAGGAGGGCGCAGGCGGCATTCTCACGTGCGGCTGCAGTGGAACCGTCGCGCAGGGCGCGCACCAGGGGCTTCACAGCACCGGCGGCTGCAATCAGGTCCTTGTTCTCGTCGCAGAGGGAGAGGTTCAGTAGGGCTGTGACCCCGTATTCCTGGACCTGTGTGAAAAAATTGATGGACAAAATCAGAAGTGTTTGAGATCGAAAAGAAAAGGAGAACTGAAAAATATGAAACTACCAATAAAACCAGAGGATCCCGCCCTCAAATTTATCTTAAAGTGGATACAAAAAGGTCCAATTCAGCACTAAATACCCCAAAAAAAACTCTGGGAGAAACATACCAAACCCTTTTCTCACTCAAATCTGAATCATTCAACATTTCCAATTTCCAATTCATTTTTCATCTAATATATGATTCTGCAAATACTTAATCAAACCCTTACCTCACTCAAATCTGAGTGATTCAACATTTCCAATTTCTTATTCATTTTTCATCTAATTGTGATTCTGCAAATACAATTCATTCGAAAATTTCAATTTCTATCAAACCCTTGCCTCCACTTAAATCTGAGTCATTCCTCATTTTAAATTCATTTTTCATCTAATTTCTGATTCTGCAAAAACAATTCATTATAAATTTCCATTTCTAATCGATCCCTTACCTCACTCAAATCTGAGTGTTATTTTGTTTTTGAAAACTTACTCAAATCTGAGTTATTCAACATTTGCAATTCATTTTTCCATCTGATTTGTGATTCTACAAATAAACAAACAACAAGGTACTATCACAAACCTGTGGGTCCGGCGACTGGACCAGCGCCACCAGTGGCTTCACTGCACCTGCGCTTGCCAATTTCAGCCTGTTCTCGCGCTTGTGCTTCGCCAGGAGCCTCACCTCCATGGCAGCACGCCTCTGCTCATCGACACTGAGAGATCCTAGCTCCACCACCAGCTGTTGGAGAGCGTCATCGGAGGAATTATCAGCAGCACATGCTGCCAGAAGCGTCCGGCTTGGCGGACATGTGGAGCTGAATTCCCCTGATCGGTCGCTGTTGTAGTCGCTGAAAGCCAAGGAGTGGTCGCTGTCGGGATCGGTGTGGACCACACGGCGTCTCATGTACTCGTGTGCTGAAACTGGGATGTCAGTCCCCATTGCCGGAATTTTCACCAGAAAATTCACCGGATTTCAGCTTGGAGAAGCCACATCACCGGATCTGTGGCAAGAAAAATGCTTACCAGAAATTTGGCCAGAAACTCCGTTCAGCTTGCCGCACTTTTGCTTGATTTTGGCCAGAATCTCAGTTAAAGCAGCTGCATGACAGATCTATAGCCAAAACTCAGTGAAGTTGGCTGGGATTTTTGCCATGTAGTCAGTCTAGGTACTTGAAATTTCACCGGAGCTCAGTACATAAGCTGAATTTCGCTTAAAACTGACGTTGGGTGGAATATTTGCCGGAAATCAATCCAGTGACTAGAATTTTCACCAGAATTTGGCTGGAATCTATTTAGAGTCACCGCTTAATCGGATAGGTAGGCTTGAAATTTCAGTACATTAGGCCGGAATCCATGGCCATGAAATCAGTTGAGTTTGCTGCCACTTAGGTTAGAGCCACTTCACCACTGGATCTATGGGCTTAAACTAAGTTTTAAGGCTGAATTTCAGAGCGACTTCATTGCCCGAACCATGGACTTTAACATCTCTCCAGAAATCTTGCATTAAAGTCTCTCTTAGCCCTGTCCTTCTCAGTTTGATTTGCAACAGTCCGCTATGGGAGATAAAAATCTCTCCCTAAAAAACTCAGTTTCCCGTTTGTTTCTCCCTCTAAAAATCTCTGTTACCACTTACCACCCTCTCTCCCAAGCTTCTCTCTATACAATCTCTATTACCGTGACTCTCTGTCCACAATCTCGATTACAGTGACTCCCTCTCTCTCTCTAGAATCTCTCTGTTACAACGTCTACGAAGTCTCTCTTTCTCTCTCCAAAAATTGTCACCTCTGTTCTTCCCTTCTCTCTCTCTAGAGAAAATCTCTGGCTCCGCGACTCTCTCCTGTCTCGGTTCTTCCCTTCTCTCTCTCTAGAGAAAATCTCTGGCTCCGCGACTCTCTCCTGTCTCGGTTCTTCCCTTCTCTCTCTCTAGAGAAAATATCTGGCTCCGCGACTCTCTCCTGTCTCGGTTCTTCCCTTCTCTCTCTCTAGAAAAAATCTCTGGCTCCGCGACTTTCTCCCGTCTCGGCACCGCGGCATCTCACCGCCATAAATAGCGCAACCCGAAGCCGCACGCGCGAAGAGCCACCATATGTGCACGTGCGAAAAAGCAGTGGTTTGTGCCCATTCTCTATCATTCTCACTGCTTAATCTTTTGTGCGGGACCCATAAGTAAACGTGTAGCCCCCAGGAGATGCAGCGTGTAGTCTCGTGGTATACGACGTATTTGCAGGGGTGTTATGGTAATTCAGGGATGGAAGGTATTCTGGTCATTTTGCGGGGTTTGGTAGCGGGGTAAAACAGGAAATTTGAATAATACGAAATATGAAAAATTAAAAACTAATTCGGTGTCTCGGTATTTCAAAATCCCGAGTCGGTTGGGCTCCTCCAAACCGATTTTTCCTCGCCAAGGCAATCTGGATTGTCAAACGAAAAAATAATTATAGAGAAATATATCAAATTATTAATAAGAGATTAACTATTTAACATTTTATTTTTTTTCTCATATTTTGTAATTTAAAATTGAATAAAAAATAATTAGTATAACATTAAAGGAAATCTTTATATGCTTCTCCTACTGTATATAAGTTACTCCATCCCAATATCTCATTTAGCTATCCAATTTAAATCAAGTAGGTAACTGACTATTTGATCTATATCCGATACCTCATAATATTTTATTTTAAAATTTTCTACAAATCATGAATATGAGAATTAGTACGTGTCATCATCTTAATGAGGTGTACCTAAAATATTTAAAAATATTTTGAAAGAAATAAATACATTAAGAAAAATTAGGTGTGGCACCAATAGGGGATAAGTTGAGAGAGAATTGATTTAGGTAGGCTAGCCATGTATGGCGCTGACCCAAATAACACCAATTGGAGGTGCAAGTTAGTTCGAGTAGAAAGCTCAAAAAAGATAAAAGGTAAGCCTAAAAGGATATTATTGGAAGTAGAGAGAAAATACACTGGGACTTGTGGCTTCACTATCCGTAATAGAACAGAATGGTGGACCAGGAATCGTGTAGCCGACCTTAATTAGTTGAAAAAAAGCTTTGATGATGATGATAAAAGAAATAAAGTGAACCAAATACCCCTAAAAAGAATTTTTTAAAAAATATTTTTTGCCGGTGTGCATTCAAGAGAAGAGTGGACACTCGAAATTTGGTGCCAAAATATTTTTTGTAGAAAAAAATTAAAAATAAAATAGTAGAGAGGTGTGGCATTGTGATCAAGTCTATCTCACCCGTCCATTCAAATCAAATTGTTGGATGCGGGGAAGTGTATAACTTGTATACAGTAGGAGAAATATAGAAAGCTTTCTCAAATATTAAATAGTTTATATAGATTTATCTTAATAAAAATGGTTTTATAAGTGTGAGGCTGTCTAAACTATCAAATTAAGGTGCACCTAAAAAATTTCACTAGAAGAGGTTGTTTCAATGCCAAAAAATCCTCAAATTGATCATCACGGCCTCAAGATGTATGGACATGATAAAAAATGGTTTTCAAGTTTTGAAAATAGTGCATCTTGTAATGTATTTTTGGATCGTTAATTTTCAAGTGCTCATAGATATGCTCAATCTACATTATTTTTTAAGCTTTAAATTTTATAATTAGAGATGAAAATAAATTTCTAGGCCATCACAAAGATTTCAGATACTGAAACAACATAGTTCGGCATCATTTGAAGGTGCGCCCTACTTTGACTGTTTAGGGCCTGGGACCAATAGAAACCACTCCCTTATTTTTAAGGAATTTATCTAAGGAAAATGGTTTGATAGGGATGCAACCCTATCAAAATAAAGTAAAGCCTCACTTTATAACTCATCGAAAATTACAATTCAAGAATTAGAAAATCTTTGCATCGAACATCTTGGCTTGAACATTATGGTTGTGAAAAAAAATACGATTTCAAGCTCTAAAAATATGGTTATTGTAACAAATTATCTGGACCGTCTATTACACCCTAAAAATAAGTGTTTATAGATCTGCAAGATCTGTATCATTTTTTAAGTTTCGAATCTTGTTGCCGGTATTGGAAATTGATTTTAGAGTCCTCATGGAGATTTCAGTTGCCAAAAGTGCATTTTGGACGAGAATTTGAGGGGAAGTTTTATTTTGTTTTCATAAAACCTAAGTCTTATAGAAACCACATCCTTTACCTAAATATTAAAATGAGCGGTTTGAGTGACCATCACCCAACAATGCAATCCACGTTATTCTGATCCCTGTATTTTAAATTGTATTTTAAAACTTTAGATTAGACCATAAGAGCAATGGTAATTCGATTAAATTGAAGGATTAGTCGTGAAAATCAAGTCAATGAATTTGGTACGTACTTGGGTCATTTTAGTTTTATTTATTATATTATATTAATTTCGTTAAGTAGAGGCTCTTTTATTAAAGCCTTTCTGAAACGTCAAGTTGCAACCAATACCAGTGGAAATCATGCATGGCCATGAAAATTGCAACAAATTCATATATAAAGCATAATAAATCCCACCAAATCATATTATAATTCATTTATTATTAATGATGACACTTTTGAATAGCTTGAAAAAATTTTAAAAAAATTATTTAAGTATGCAATGAAAGTATTTACTTTTTGTATAAGGTGATCAAAATTAATCTCTACTATTAAATGTGAAATTGGGTGGCTGCATTTATTCCATTAACCAACTCAAAAGAATATTTCTTGAACTTAGTGACACACCCAAGCTATTAGATTTCACACTAGATGGTTACAAATAATTGTAACCTCCTCGTACCAAAGGTATATGATCTCATTGTATACAATTCCATATCAACTAAAGATGAATTATTCCAATTTAAGATCATGGTTTGTTTATAAGGTTTTAAAACTATATAAAGTGTTCTTGTTTTGAATCAAAATAACATAGATCCGCATTTACTTGAATCAGGAACGTTCTGGTTTTGAATCAAAATAACATAGATCTGTATCTATTTGAATTAGGACCATATAATTTCTATTCTCAAAAACCACTTCTTCAAATAACCTGTTATCATGTGTTACAAGACAATATGGTGAGTTCACAGTCGCTCATGCAAATTTCTGCAACTCACAGGAGACTAAGGGCGATGGGCCTCTTTTTTCTAGATAGCATTAAAATTATATTAGAATGAGCCAGAATGGATCGTCTTCGACTTTGAGCATGCATTTTCATGCATGGCTTGTTCGATGACTAGAAGTATCAACTATTGGGTTGGTGATGCAAAATTACATCACATTTAACTTATAGTATTTCTTTTTTTTGTCAGTATTTTGGTTTGAAAAATACTTGTGTGTATTTCAAAACAAGAATATGGTTTTTGCGGTTTTTTCCTAAGCTATTTTTTGTGGGGAAATAAAACTATAGGTTTTTTGTCCCACATTGAAGAGGAGAGAGTTAATTAAGCAGTATTTAAAAATAGGCACTCTCATGTCTGATACTTTACAAAAGAGAGAATGATAATGCGTGTGTGAGGTGTGGTACATGGGCACTTAATGGCACACGTTGCACTTCGCATGTGTGGGATATCCAACTGTCATCTAGTTTTTCTATGAAATAGAGGGAAATGAAATGGAAGGGAAATAGAAGGACAAACTAAAATAGAGGCTCGTGGCAAAACGGTTTGTTGGTTGTGCATGTAACCAGGCGTTGATGAAATGGAGGCAAATTGAGAGTTATTGGTTGTTCATGTAATCACCACTGCAGTAAGTGTACGGCCTCCTTGTGGCTCTATAATATGGGGTCTTTTTTTAGTTTTTTACGGCCTTTTGCATCTCTCTCAATACACCTTCCTCTATGATTTTCTAAGGAGCATAACATAGCTCTCATCTCTTTCTCTACTTGTTTTTCTCTCTCTAAAATATCATAAGACTCTAATATCTAGTATGTGTTTTCCAAACTCGAGTACATAGAGCTTTGGAACAACAAAAGAGATATTTCTATTTTCTTGTATCTCGAGGAAGAATTGCCCTTTTTATGCACACCAAATAGAGTATCGAAGGGGGCCAAATATTATATTGAGATAGCACTCATTCGTGCCCGAAAACAAGGGGGAAATGAGTTTTGATTTTCTAAAATCCTAGCATCTTTTGCCCTTATTTCACTCAACAATTTTTCAACATTTTTAGTATGAGGGTGTTTTGGTCATATAGAAAGTCACATTTATGGGAGCACATAAAAAGGATTTTGTTGAAACAAAAACATGGGTTTTTGAGAGGGGGGCCTCTGTTAAGAGAAAAAATATGAGTTTTGGGGAAGAATAGAGGATAGGGTTTTGGAAAACCTTAACTTCTTAATGCCCTAGTATTGGACCAGATTTTAACGGCGTTTCTTCTAGACGATAGTGTTAGTTGACGGTAACATAAAATGAATCGATTGATAATTTCTTTAAGGTATAGAAAAAATTCATTTTGAGCTTTTTTTCGACCATTATAAGGTAAGCACTACATAACTCAAAATTTGTAAGTCTTTTATTGATAGTGAATCATTTCCTTGCCTGTTGCCCCTCCCAAAAATTTCGGCCCCAACGTCAACATGACAAATCTTCAGCCCCAGCGCCAGCAAAAAATCCAGCCCCAGCGCCAACAAAAATCAGGCCGCAGCGCTGCCTTCAACCTACTGGCCGCAGTGACAGTCCCAAAAATTCCGACCCCAGCGCCAACAAAAATCTAGTCCCAGTGCCGCCTTCAAACTACTGGCCTCAGTGCCAGTCCCAAAACTTCCGGCCCCTGTGTCGACAAAACTTCCGCCCCAACACCAACAAAAAATCCAGCCCCAGTGCCAACAAAAATCCGGCCACAACACCATCTTCAAACTACTGGCCCCATTGCCAGTCCTAAAAATTTCGGTCCCAGTGTCGCCTTCAAACTACTGGTCCCAGTGCCAGTCCCAAAAATTCTAGCCCCAGCACCAACAAAACTGCGGCCCCTGTGCCAACAAAAACTCTGGCCCCAACGCCAACAAAAATCTGGCCCCAACGCCAAA